TACAGGTCTATGCTACACAGTGAGGGTTAAAGAACATGAGTACAAGGACATTTACCAGTTTATTCTCAGCCTCCTTAATGCTACACAAGTTCATTACTGAGCCCTGCGGCTTGCTGAACTCTCTCTCAATGCAGCAGTAGAGCAGGCTCTGCCTGGCTCTGCACAGGCTTAAGTGCTCATTTCATCAACTGGCAAGGTTGAGTGGAAAACTGAACAAACAATAAGATAACCCAAAAGCATTTACAGGCAAAATATTACTTTCAAATTTAAGGAATACATAAGCCAGCACAAAGATGTCATTTGGCACTAAACTTTGGGAATGAAATGCAGTCTGAATAGTTCTTCATTTGTCTGGCACTGACATTTCAACAGCTTTTTATGTTGCTAAGGTATTGACTTGGCATAAGGCACTAACATTTCTTTTGTACCACCACCTGCTGCTTGGAGGAGCAGCAACACAGACTCCGTTACCTGAACGGACCACTGATTGTATTATTCACATCAGAGTCAGACACCTAAAAAAGACACTTTTATGTATAGACTCACAAATATCTCAATCACGGCAGCCTGAAGGAGTTCATTATCACTGGGACTGAAGCAGGACACAAACTACGTTACCCACTATTCTTTTTTTTTCCCCACTGATTAATTGGGCACTATTGCTGCCATTGGTTCTGTACCGGAAACAAATTCCTTGTGTGTAACATACTTGGCCAATAAAAGTGATTATTATTATTATTATTATTATACTCATTCCCTTGCTTGTTGATATGTACATACACATTGAGAGCTGATGTACCAGAGTCAAATTCCTCGTGTGTCTGACACACCTGGCCAGTAAAGCTGATTCTGATTCTGAAATGCTTTGCTGAAAAAAACAAAGTGACTAGTGGCAGTGTGTGTGTGTCTGTATGGTGCCTTTGTTTTACTTACATTATGGGGACTGAAACCTGTTAACACACTCACATTGTGGGGACTCGACCATCACTGAAAACACTGAATTTTGGGGTGGCAACATGGTTTAAGGTTAGGGGCAGGGGAATGGGTATGGGTTAGGGTTAGGCAAGTAGTGGTTATGGTTGCATGCAAGCACAAACAGAATGCAGTACAGTGTATGTAATTTGTTACAATCAATGTAAATATGAAAACAAAAAAACAATTATGGTACTTTAATGTAAATTCCCTGCTAATGTACTGGTATATTCAAGTGTAATTCACTTGAAATGCATCTGATGTCAGTGAGTGGTTTAATATACCACTGAAGAGTCTGTACAGCAGGAACAGGGACACATCCTGTTGCATGCCCGGCCTAAGGTTAACACATGCATGGAAAATTGAGGAGACAAAGCTCCAGCAGTACGCTGTCACTGCCACCCTGAGGGCAAACACAAATGCACACATTTCTTTTTATCCCACTGTGAGGTGGAGATTGCTAACTTACTGTGGATGAACATTTCACCAGCTTTTTGGTCCACTGTTTGTGTCTATTGTTGGATGCTATTTAGGCTCCCAGGTGTGACAAAAAGGTGAGTTGAAAAACACAAACCGTTATCCAGGGGTGTCTTTGTTTAATTGATCCATAAAGTCCTTGTCCTGCCCTGCAGTTTGTGAGCATGGTGCTAGACTAAATTATTATTTCAACAAATACTGACTTAAACATGTTAGGACATTTTTGCAGTGGCAGGACAAAGTTGGGGGGAAATCCTGTAATTTTGTTTTTCAGGGTGTGATTCTATCACAGCATAAAAACTAAACTGATCAGAAAATAAAATAATGTGTCTTTACTGTGTACCGTCGACCAGATGCTCATTGTTTTCAGCACAAGAAAAGCTTCTGTCAGGAGGACTTACTCTGACCCCATTTTAACACCTTTTACATTTTATTTGTATTTCTAGTCATATCTCCAAAGGGGCCTCATTAAATCAACAATCACATTTTCCTTTCACATCATGTAATAAGTGTGTTGAATCAGAGAGAACATTAACTAAATGCTTTCAGAGCAGGCAGCAGCAGGTTGTTTGGCAAGAAACATTTGAGGCTGTTTGGTTGAATACAGTGGTATTATTTGGCACAGGCAAGTAAGGTGTAGTGACATTTTGATGTCCTGTGTTTGTGTTTGTGTCACCAGTGTGTGTGTGTGTGTGTGTGTGTGTGTGTGTGTGTGTGTGTGTATGTCTGTGTCAAGGGCCTGTGTGTGTGTGGCAAGGGTATACAGATGCTTTCTGGGGAATTAATCCAACAGATACTGACTCCATCACAACACACATGGGCTGATGCTCATAAGCACGTACGCACACACATGCGCACACACACACGCACACACGCTGACCTTTCCTGTACTATCAACAGACACACATGTATGTAACCACAGTAGATACAATCCACACACACACACACACGATACACAGAGGCAAGCGCACACCCACAAAGCAGGCTGATCAACAGCCTAAGGCAGAGCTCTGTCTCTAATTATGAAAAGTTGGCACAGATGTGGCAGGAAGAGCCGATGACATCACCTAACCTGCTTTAAAAAAATTGCAAGCTTTGAGTAGAGGGTGGCGACATACCCTCGCTGTTTTGAGGTGGGAGGGGGTGGGGGGTATTGGAATAAAGAAAATGCCCTGCACATAAATAAATAAAGAAGGTCTCCACCTGTTAGCCAGAGAGCACTCTAACCAGTAAAGCTGTAAACATACTCACCTCAGCCAACAAAGATGATGATATTTTGCTGGTATTATATGCGTCTCTTTGGCTTTAATGCCAAGGCTCAAATGTGAACTGTTTCCTACAAATAGTGCACATCTTTTCATTTCACCATGGACAACCAGCAGCTGGCAAAAATGAAACTCAGCGGAAGGCAAAACATCAGGGATAAAACAGCAGTCACAAGGTTGGCATTCTAGTCCCAGAGAACCATATATACTCACCAGCACAAAATCTTTCAAAGCTCACCCTGGCTTATTAAGGCAGAACAGTGGACAGCAGGGATATTACACTACGCTGCTGTACACACTAGATGTGGCCCCGGGGCCCCGTGAAATCAATGTTTCCTCTAAAGCATTATCTGGGAATTGTCTGGTTGACTCAGCACACTAGCTTTTATAGCTCTTGGTTTAATGTGATTTTATAGTGACCCCATACATGATGCAGCATGAGACCCTAGGAAATCATTCCTAAAATGTGACCAGGTATGACTTCTGAGGGACCAAGGATGACGGAAGAAATTTAAATATAAACTATACATTTAACATCAAGGGAAAAAGAAATAAATGAAATTATACAGCTTATCTATACATTTCATCAAAAGTACAATTTCAATTATAGCCTAACATGGGCAACATGAGAACACACAACTTACTTCTGTTGTATATCTGCTTATCTTTCTGTTTCCAAAGAAATTATTGTACACATTGTTCAAACAGTGTCTAACACTGCATACAAAATGACTGCCAATGACCCTGGCTATACTTCAGTGAGACGGCATCACAAGTTATGAAGTATTTCACATAATAATGTTCGCTAAATGATTTTGTTTCCCAGTTCCCACCATCTGCCAACTGCCAACATGTACAGTGAGGAACAGAAGTATTTGAACACCCTGCAATTTTGCAAGTTCTCCCACTTAGAAATCATGGAGGGGTCTGAAATTCACATTGTAGGTGCATTCCCACTCAGAAACAGAATTAAAAAAAAAATTTTAGGAAATCACATTGTATGATTTTTAAAGAATTTATTTGTCTTGCACTGCTGAACATAAGTATTTGAACACCTGAGAAACAGCAAGAATTCTGGCTCTCAAAGACCTGTTACTGTGCCTTGAAAAAGTCCACCTCTACTCCACTCATTAATCTAAACTAGTAGCACCTGTCTGAGCTCTTTAAAGACACCTGTCCACCCCACAGTCAGTCAGACGCCAACTACTACCATGGGCAAGACCAAAGAGCTGTCAAAAGACACCAGAGACAAAATTATGGACCTCCACAAGGCTGGAAAGGGCTACGGGGCAATTGCCAAGCAGCTTGGTGAAAACAGATCAACTGTTGGAGCAATTGTTAGAAAATGGAAGAGGCTAAAGACGACTGTCAATCTCCCTCGGACTGGGGCGCCATGCAAGATCTCACCTCGTGGGGTATCACTGATGATAAGAAAGGTGAGGAATCAGCCCAGAACTACAAGGGAGGAGCTGGTCAATGACATGAAGAGAGCTGGGACCACAGTTCTGTCGGTAGAACACTACGCTGTCATGGTTTCAAATCATGCATTGCACGGAAGGTTCCCCTGCTCAAGTCATCACATGTCCAGGCCCGTCTGAAGTTGGCCAAAGACCATCTGGATGATCCAGAGGAGGCATGGGAGAAAGTCATGTGGTCAGATGAGACCAAAGTAGAACTTTTTGGTCTAAACTTCACTCATCGTGTTTGGAGGAAAAAGAAGGATGAGATGCATCCCAAGAACACCAACCCTACTGTGAAGCATGGGGGTGGAAACATCATGCTGTGGGGGTGCTTTTCTGCGAAGGGGACAGGACGTCTGCACTGTATTAAGGAGAGGATGAATGGGGCCATTTATTGTGAGATTTTGAGCAACAACCTCCTTCCCTCAGTCAGAGCATTGAAGATGGGTCATGGCTGGGTCTTCCAACATGACA